TCCCGGGAGCCTCTTGGGGCAGTGAGTTCGAAGTGTCGGTTCGTGCTCGCTTGGGGCCCCTCTTGGGACGCTCTTAGGGCCGTCTTGGGCCGTCTTTGAAACCTCGTGGGCCGTCTCGGATGCCTTTTTTGCCGCCTCGGCGCCCTCATGACGGCCTCGTAGGCCGTCTTGGAGCGATCTTTGGGGCCTCGTGGGCCGTCGTCGAGCGTCGGGAAGCCGAAAATGGCAGACACGCTAAAATCTATCAAAAAACGACGGACACTTAACAAGTTTTCAATCTTTGGGCCTCTTGGGAGTTGAGTTCTCTTGGAAGCCTCTTGGGGCGTCTTGGAGGCGTATTGGGCCCTCTGGAGGCCATGACTGGCGTCTTGGAGCAATCTTTCGGCGACTCTGGGCACTCTTGGGCCCCTCTTGGAGCATCTTGGATTTGATTTGCCGAAGTAGGGCAAAAATTGCTAGAAGGCGGCCCTGGAAAGGGGAAGGGGGACCGTATTCTGACCCTGGACCCCCCCCCAGGACCCCCCACCAGGATCCCCCCCCTGGGTGAGCAAGGGATTCGTTTGATTAAACGGCAGGAGCTCCCCTTCGACTCAAAAACTACTTCGATTGTGATTTGGCTCGATTCGCCTCGAGTTGGTGAGCATGGCGCGCCAACGAGTCTATCGGGAGAGTCTCTTGACATGCAATAGCGCATCGAGTGAAAGATCGTCTCTTAGGCACGCCCGGGGACGACGGACCCAGAATTCCCCATTTGCACACGCCGACAGGGTCGGCTGATTTCGGAGCAATGGTGCTGGCTGATGCTGGCGGTGCAGTGGGGTTGATGTTCTTGGGAAACCCGCAGGACAGCTGAGGAGCATGATTTATCCGGGCGAAGGACGCGGCCACAGGCAATTGTGAATCACGCAGTTGTGAGAGTCGTCGTCGGTGACGATCCGCCTGGGGCCACGAAACGCGTGAGGGGTGTGCCAAAAGGGGGCGTGGGGGCGCATGTGGACCCTCCCACTTCGGGGGGGGGAGGAGGAGGAGGAGGAGGAGGAGGAGGAGGAGGAGGAGGAGGAGGAGGAGGAGGAGGAGGAGGAGGAGCGTGCGAGGGGCGAAGCCAAAAGGACTAAATGTTGCGGTGGGATAATGTCTGTCCATCGTTAGAACCCTCAGGGTTGCCCTCTTATACTGTTGCGTCGTCTTCCCCCCCGTGCCCCATGGGGTGGTAGTTGAGAGGAGGCGTAGGTTTCCGAAGAAATCAGGCGCGGGATCATGCGTACGCATCCCTGCCGACGGTCTACTCACACGTAGGAGCACGAGTCGCACATGTCGAGAGGGCCAGGCTGCGGTACAGAATTCCTAGCCCCTCGACCGCTTTCATTTGACACGCAGGGGGCACTCCATATTGGCTTGTATAGCATAGCGCTCATCGCCCCCCCCGGCGTTCCATCCATCCATCCTCCCATCCTCCATCCACCAATCCATCCGTCCATCCATCCTTCCATCCTCCCTCTCTGGTGCATTCTGCCAGCTGGTGCGTTTTGCGTTCTCTCTTTCCTGCTCCTGAGCCGAGGGTGCGTCTCACACGTGGACGCTGTGCGAGCAGCACTCTGCCAGATGCCGAGTGCAAAAGGCCCGACGGGTTTTTCCCAAGATCCCAGTATCCCAAGATTCAGGAGGGAAAGAAACACACAGACACAATTAATCGTCGACTCCCAAGAAAATATGGGAAAATATGGGAAGTGGGGGGGAAGACAGAAACCCAGAAAATATGGGAACATATGGGGAATCCTTTTATTTGTGTGTATTTATTTGTGTGTCCTGGGGCCCCTTCAAAGATTACAGTTGGTGGTCCACGAGGCCACACGGGGGACGGCGGCGGAGCGGCGGAGCGGCGCTCGCAGACCACAGACGCAGCCCAGACGACGGGCGCGGCGACGGGGCGTGCAGTCTGTGTAGGTGCAGCCGGCGTTGTGCCGTCTGCGTGTTGCAGTGTATGTGGTTGCGCAATCTTCAGGAGGGGAAAAAACACACAGACACAATTAATCGGCGATTCCCAGAAAATATGGGAAAATATGGGAAGTGGGCGGGAAGACAAAAACCCAGAAAACATGGGAAAATATGGGGCATCATTTTATTTGTGTGTATTTATTTGTGTGTCCCAGGGCCCCTTCAAATCTGTGTGGCGCACTTGACTTTTTACACGTGAGTTGACACATTCTAGGCCGTTGCAGACGTCCCACCCGCCCACCCACAACGTGGTCTGCAAAACCCATTTCTTGGCGTTGGCGGGTGCATCTCTGCAGCCGCGCCAGCCCGCGCCTGCTGGCGCTCGCAGCGGCCAGTTAGATTGGCGCGACCGTCGCGGCCGCGGTGGCGCTGACCGCTGGGCCGGGCTTGTCAGTGCGAGTCGGTGACTTGGGTGGGCGCGGTATGATGGTGACGTCGACAACGGTAGACAAACTTATAGGAGTATTGTAGCGATGAGAGTGACGATGGTGACGATGACGACGACAAGGCCAATGGCGGCGCCGATGGTGACCGTGCCCACCGATAGCGATGACGATGTCCTCGCGTCGGCGATGCATATTTTCGAAGGAGTTCGACGTGCGCGCGCGGCCGACGTGCGGGTATGGCTTGCGTTGTATTATTTGACACGGGCCGCGCCCCCCCCTTCCAGCACGCGCGCGAGCGCGTCCGAATGATCTCGACGTGCGTCGTGATAGCCCGCTTGGCAGAATGTGATGCGCATGTTGCACGACTTTTTGCGAGATCGCGAACGCAGCTTTTTGTTTATATATTCCAAATTGAGGTTGCACAAACATGTGTTTTGATATGTCTGCGGGACAATCTTTCTTGAAGTCGTTGAGGACCCAAGGTTTTCGAAGGATTTCGGCATGCGCGTGCGACGGTTCGCGCGCGTGCGGGATCTTTGCGACAGCACACGCGCAAGGGCGCACAGACGATTTTGACATGCGCGCGCGAAAAGGCCCGTTTGGTATCATGTTATGCGATTGTTGGAATCCGCATGCGTCTTGTTATTCAAAATCGCAAGGTCGCGGGCGCAAGCTTTGTTTGAACACTTGTGTTGTTGTACCATGTTTTTTATGTGTTGTTGTGGCTGTCGGTTTTAAAGTCATTGCGAAAAAACAAGAGGTGTTTGAACGATTTCGGAATGTTCGCGCGACGACGAACGCGTGTGCACTTCGTCCACTTCTTTGCAAAACTGTTTTCGATCATATTTGAGTTTCGATATACGAGTGTGCGCGCATAGTATTTTTTCAAAGGTTGAGGGGGGGTCGAACTCGGGCGTTCCTGGGACAATTCGAGGTCGCATTGAGGATGGACGATGGGGCAGAATCGTATGCAAATCGCAATGCGAGAATCTGGGCCGTCAACTCCAGTGCGGGGCGATTTCTTTGTAAGGAAAAAAGGTGAATCCATATCGTTTTGGGCGATCTTAAAGCGCGCCGCAGGCCAGCTTTTATTCCAGGCAGCCCACGTGGCGCAATCCACAGGCAGCGACGAAGTGGCAATGGGGCCGGTGACGGCGACGACATAGCCGCCAAACCGAAGACGCAACTCACACGACGGGCGGCGCCGACGGGCGGCGCTGAGGCAGCGACGGGGCGGCGGCGGCGACAACATACCCGCCATACCGAAGATGCGGCCAGGATCCTCAGAGCGGAGGTAAGAACCTGCAGTGCAAGCACTGTTGGGGAACATTGCCATAGAACCGGGGGAACCCGAGGAAAGCCGACCTTCCAAAACAGTAAAGCAACAAAACCAAAAAGGACTTGGGAACCAAACGTTTCAACCCCGCTTCCTTGGGACCAGCATTTCATCCCGAATTGTTTTTTGACGGTCCCAGGGCCTGGCGCCGGCCTTCAAAGCCCGAACATGTGGCAACAGCACCTTTTGTCGTGGTTTTTCACGACGCGAAAGGTTGGGGTTGGAGGGTGAAAGAGACGGTCTGCAACAGAGGGGGTTTTCAATGGGGGCTGAATGGACCGTGCCTGCTCAATGTACCGGTCATGTATGTGATCGGGTACGATTGGCATCCAATGTTTGCGGTCATGGAGGGCCAGTCGTTCGTGCCATCGCGTTGCCCGCGCGGGCAAACGCGCCATCCACACATTGTCGTTCATGCGTGCGGGCGTTCTTGCATACTGCGCGTGGGGCGGCGAAGTGGAGTGCAAGTGTGTCTTGATTGTGCGATGGATGGTCACGCATGTTCTCTCACGATGACTTGTCGACCCCCAAGAAAGATTTGGAATGGGTCCCGCGATTCTCCCAAAATGTGAATTCAGGTTTTCCTTTTTCCCAAAATGTGAATTCACATTTTGGCCCCATTCATATGCGAATTCACATGTACCTTTTGTTTCAACATGTGAATTCAGGTTTCCTCTTTTTCCGAAAATGTGAATTCACATTTGCCCCCCCACGATGTGAATTCACATGTCGCCCTGGCTTTCAAGATCCCCAACACTGAGGCACAGTGTTCCGCATGTCAGATGGGATCGGTAGATTTTGACACTCGCCTCATTTCGTTTCTTCAATATTTTTTTGCGCCCTCGGCGCACGTTGCCTTCGTCGCCTTTCCCGAGCCCCCCGCCCCCTTGCTCCGTTTACCCTCAAGTCTCGCGCATGGGTGCACGCGGGGACCTTCAAGTGGTTCCCCCGCCGAACACATCAATCGAGGATGCATCGCCCATGCACGGCCCATCAAGACACCATTGCCAGGACCCTGCGCCCGACCCCCACTTTCACCCTCCAATGGGGGCTCTCCCTCCTCCGCCACTCCCTCTTTCCTCGCCCTCCCCCTTCCCGCCCTCCTCTCCGTGGTTGCGCGACGCCGCTGAGGGCGAGGCTGCCCGTGGCAGTTGTACCCCTCTTTGTCTGGCAAAGTTCTGGCGGAGAAGGAGAGCCGACGCAAGGCCCACGGTGCTCGGTGCAAGCCTCGCACCAGACAGCACAGGCGTCCCGACCGGCGTTCCTTCGCCCCCGCCGCGCAGCCTCACGAAGCCGCCGCCGGAGCTGCCCGCCGCGCTCGTGGCGGACTTCCAGGACGGTCCCGCCGGCGGCCCGCGCGCGCGCGCTGAGAGGGGGCATGGGAGGGAGGCGAGGCCGGCCACGCGCAAACGGGGTTTAGGCTGAAGGCTGAAACACCCCTGCTTCTGAGAGGGCGCGGGCCTTGCCTGGAGGTGCAGGGCCAGCGAGTTTTGAGAAGCAGCCTCCTTGTAACAAGCCGACCTTCTCTTTCATACATCCTTGTGCGCGCCGCCAAGACATGACGGCGAACGACGGCGGGCAACGACGACAGGCGCCGAACGACGACGACGACGACGACGACGACGACGACGACGACGACGACGACGACGACGGCGACGGCGACGGCGACGGCGACGGCGACGGCGACGGTGATTGCGACGGCGATGGCGGCGACGCCGACTGACGACGGCGACGACGACGACGGCGACGGTGGCGACGGCGACGGCGACGGCGACGGCGGCGACGGCGACGGCGACGGCGACGGCGGCAGCGGCGACGGCGACGAGCGACGACGAGCGACGGCGGACGATCAACGACGATGGTCGTTGCTCGTCATCGTCAGTTTTCGTTCGTGGTTGGTCGTCGTCGTCCTTCGTCGTCGGTCGTTAGTCGGCGGTACGCGCCGCCAAGTAGGGGAGGGAGGGTAGGAGTAATTAGGAGAAGGATGAGGAGGAGGATGGAGAGGAGGAAACAGATGAGGGAAACGAGGAGGAGAAGGAGGAGGAGGAGGAGGAGGAGGAGGAGGAGAGGAGGAGGAGAGCAGGAGGGAGAGCGGGAGGTTGGGGGAGGAGGAGGAGGAGGAGGAGGAGGAGGAGGAGGAGGAGGAGGAGGAGGTGGAGGAGGAGGAGGAGGAGGAGGAGGAAGAAGAGGAGGAGGAGGAGGAGTACCAGTGTAAACTCGAGAGTCATCAATGATGTTGTAATAAGCCCTCGCTCCAACCTCCCTCTTCATAGGCCTGAAGACCCTGAAGCATGCCAATGCATTGTTCTCGGGATTCCAACGCCACGGATCAACTTGACGATCCAGAATCGTGCCAGAACAACACCGTGAATCAACGCATCTTTCTGGTACGTTGATCATGGGAACCCGTGAAACTTCTGTAATTGAATCGCTTCGCTCATTCCGCCGGCCCGTGATATGGCATCGCTGGTTTTGTCTGTGTGTTCGTTGCCCATGTTGCGCTCTTGGGGGCGGGTGTCGTTCGGACGCGTTGCGTGGGGAGTTTTGATGGTGAAGCAGTTCCCTGGGGGTCGTCTCTCGATGGGGCGAAATAGAGTCGTCGTCAAGATGCTTCTTTGGGGGGCCTCTTGGGGTCTGTTGAGAGGCCGTTCGGGGGCGCCTGGGAGACATGTTTGAAGCCTTCTGGGGCTTCTTTTGGGCCTCCTGGGAGTCTCCTGGGGCCTCTTGGCGACATCTTGGGGCCTCTTGGAGGCCTCTTGGGGCCTGTTTGGGACCTCCTGGGCGCCTTCTGGGACGGAGGGCTCAATTTTTGAGTTCTCGGTATCCCTCCTGAGTCCCTCTTGGGCCCGTCTTGGGGCCTCTTGGTCCGTCTTGGGCGGCACTTGGGAGCTTCGTGGGCCGTCTTGGAGCGGTCTTGGGGGCCTCTTGGGCCGTCTTGGAGCGTCTGGAAGCCGAAAAAGCCAGAACACAAAAACACATCGAAAAAACCAATGAAAATCAACGATTTTGGCCTCTTGGGGCTCTCTTCGGAGGCCTCTTGGAAGGCTCTTGGGGCGTCTTGGAGGCCTCTTGGGCTGTCTTGGGGGCCTTTTGGGCCGTCTTGGGGTCATCTTCGGCGTCTTCGAGCGCTCTTTGGGCGTCTCGGGGGCCTCTTGGGCAGTCTTGGGGGCCTCTTGGGGCACTCTGAGCGCGCTCTGGGGAGCCTGAGAGGCCGCACCCAGAAGGAAAACCATCTCTGAGTAGACTTGGTCGGGCGGCGGTCGGGCGGCGGTCGGGCGGCGACCGGGCGTTGGTCGGGGTACTTTTCGCCGGGGGACCCCCAGGGGCCGCCCCGCGCGCGCGAACTAGAAATACTGTTAATACTGTTAACCAGTTACCGGAGATCTTAGCACGCCCTGGCCCGTTGGGCCGGCGAATTTATCTACAGGAAAGTGCGCGGCACCAAGGCGAAAGCCGCATTCGGAAAAGGAACCTCACTCAATCCGTGAATGTTTGCAATGTGTTGCAGCGAATGTGCTCGGTGATTTGGCGAGAGCCACATTTTGATAAGCCCGCCCTCAATCCGTGAACCTCTTTGCTGCTTTTGTATTAAGAAAGTGTGCTCGGCGCGAAGGCGAGGGCCACATTTTGAAAACCACCCGCCCGCAATCCGCGAACTCTTATAATGAATAACAGCGAATGCGCGCAGCGGTAAAGCGACAACCACATTTTGAAAACGATTCACCCTCCATCTGTGAAGCTGTTGCCACCACTGTGTTCGCTTCAGGGATGTAGATGGTGAGGATGTCTCAGGCGAAACGCCCGGCCCGCCCTACAAACTTGCCTCGGGATGCTGCAGCGAGGAGTTATTCATAAGAAAAAGAACTGGAGGAGGAGGAGGACGAGGAGGAAAAGGAGGAGGAAAAGGAGAGGAGGAGGAGGAGCAGAGGACGAGGAGGATAATAATGAGGAGGAGGAGGAGAAGGGAATGAAGCCCAGACATGCTCGCGCCGTGACACGAAACCGCGGCGGGGGGTCTTGGGCCGTTCTTTCGGCCGCGGGGGGCCATCGCCGGGCCCCGGCACCGCCGCGAGGCGACTCGTGATGAATAAGCGGCCCCAGGGACCCCAGGGAACCTTCCCCGGACAGTTTTTTAATCCCGATCCCTTCAAGGGGTCGGGACGTCCTCTGCATGTGGGAAGCGGGTCCTCGTGGAAACGGGCCCTGAGATTTTTCACCGTTTTCGGGCTCTCGGGTCATTCCATTGGTCCTGGGACTGACAGAACTCGATTCAGGATGAAAAGTGGTCCTGGGGGAAGGCCCCTATCCAGGAGCCGCTTATCTCTTCTCTCAGGACCAGTTTCCTCCATGTGAAGTCCAGGGACCCCGTATCAACACATTTCAGGACATCGCATGTCTGGGAAATGTATCAACATCGCCACCCCTGCCTCGTTTTCGCCTTTTCGCGCCTCCTGGGAGGCCCTAGTCGCCAAGGCTGGACTCGCCCCGAAGTTCTGGTTCTGGTTCTGGTTAGCCCTGGGGAGGTCTGTGGATTGCAGCGGTATCGGTACGTGTGTTCCTCAGGGATCTCGTCGAGGCTGCGAGCACGGTACCTGGCTCCAAAGTGCACTGTAGGAGCTTCTCGTTGATGCTGCGCAGTCGAGCGTTGCCGACGCCGACTGGGAGCACCTCTTCAGTCCTCGCGCACCGTGGCAGAGGCACCCGCTGCGAGTTTACGCATGATGAACGGAGCCCGAAGGGAGCCCGTGCTCCACTAGCGATGATGGGCGTGACAAGGGGGGGGGGGGGGACCGGTCACGTCACGATTCGCGCCGCTACATGGCAGATTTTCAGACGGTGCCAGCGCGAGTCGTGACGTGACCAGGGGGGGAGGGGATTGGCGCGGGGCAGGTTGCTGGCGCTATCGCGCGTAGAAGAAGTTGGCTCATGATTCTTTGTCCGAGTAAGAAGCACTTGCGTGAACATACATGTTCGTTTTTTTTGATCGGCGCCGGGGCCCCCATGGCGGCGCCTCCAGCGGCCACCCCGGCGCGCTCCGCGCGCCGGGGAAGGGGGTCAAGCGCAAACCCGAGAAATGCGCGCGGGCCGTCGAAGGTTCATGTTTGCGCAGCTTTTCTTCTCAGGAGCGAGGCGTCGACCCCAAAGGGGCGACGCGCGCACTCTGGTACACTCTAGGCGATGCTTAAGAAACCCCAAGTTTTCGGCCAGAGTCTCGATTATGCTTAATAATCCAATGTAGATCCTAAAATTTGAATAGACACGCTGGGTTTTTATTCAAATTCTGAGACTATGAATTTCTTAACCCATGATTTCTAAAACATTTCGCAGGGTGTAGTGAGTGCTCGGTGGCGGACGCTGTCTGGCCATACCGCTGGGTCAACGATGCATTATTGAATTGAGATTATTCAAGATCTGGGTGCCTTCAAGGAGAACGCACAGTATACTCCTGCGTCCCGGGCGAGGACGAGGGAGGACGAGGAGGAGGATGGAGGACGATGGCGGGGAGTGCCAGGGGCACGACGGGTCGGCCGCGGGCTTCGTGGGCGCGCGGTGCGGCGCGGGCGTTTTTTTGTTTGCGGAGAGGGAGAGAGAAGGGGGCGCGCCAGCGTCGCCAGGAGAGGGGCGAGGGCGAAGGAGAATCGGTACGATCGGTATGGGCACGGGGAGAGTGGGGACGAAGGTTGCCACCAGTTCTTGTCCATTCTGGACAGGGCTTGCTGTCGGTGTCACAGCGGGCGGTGTCCAGATGAGGCTGAGGGCCGCCTGCTCAACAGCGGCCGTTGTCTGTTTTGTGCAAGATTTGCAGTCGGGCATTGTGTCCCCTTTTTCCGTACCCATGTCGGGCGTCCAAAGAAAAGCAAGGAGGGAAGGGTGCAGGACTCGAGAACGAACAGATGACATAAACCTAGTTTTTCGGAGCTCCGCGCGAATGTCTGGGATCGGCGCCGGGCCCCCCCTGGCGGGGCCGGAGGCGCCGCCACTGGCGCTCTCTGGGGGCAAGGGATGGGGGTCCAGCGCTGATCCAAGGAGTATCAGCGCGGAGCTCCAAAGGTTCATGTTTAGGTCATCATGTATGTGTTCCGCGAGACAGGGGCAGGGATGGAGGAGAGGTCACCGAGCGCGTTCCTTTACTCGCAAAGTGCCCATTCGCAAGCGACGTCCGAAAAATATCCGTTTGTTTCGATGAAATTTATCTTAGGATCCCCCCAAGCGGATCCAGACCAATTGCGAGTACTTACTTTGCGAGTAGTGGAGTGCGCTCGTCTAAGCGGGAAAGAGCGACGAGGACGACGGGCTCGCACCTGAGTCCTACCCCACAACGCGTGCTGACTGGT